CAGGGAGCCCGATGTGGGACTCAATCCCAGGACTCCAGGATCATGACCTGAGCCGAAGGCAGTTGCTTAACCAACTGAGCCACCCAGGCGCCCAAGCTTTTCCTTTAAGGTAAGGAATAAGACAAGGATGTCCACTCTCACCACTTTTATTCAACATAGTACCGGAAGTTCTAGCACAGCAATCAGACAACGAAAGAAAAGTCACCCAAATTGGTAAGGAAGAAGTAAAACTATTTGCAGATGACATGATGCTATATATATATATAGAAAACCCTAAAGACTAACAAAAAACTACTAGAACTGATAAATGAATTCAATAAAGTCGTGGGATACAAAATCAATGTAGAAAATCTGTTGCATTCCTATACACTAATAATGAAGCAGCAGAAAGAGAAATTAAGAAAACAATCCCATTTACAATTGCACCAAAACCAGTAAGATATCTAGGAATAAACTTAACCAAAGAGATGAAAGACCTGTATGGTGAAAACTATAAGATACTAATGAAAGGAATTGAAGATGACACAAAGACATGGAAAAACATAAAAATTAATTAATTAATTAATCAAAAATGGAAAAACATTCCATACTCATGGATTGGAAGAACAAATATCATTAAAATGTCTATACTACCCAAAGCAATCTACAGATTTAATGCATTCTCTATCAAAATACAGTAACATTTTTCACAGAGCTAGAACAAACAATCCTAAAATTTGTATGGAAGCACAAAGACCTCGAATAGTCAAAGCAATTTTGAAAAAGAAAAAACTGGAGACATCACAATTCCAGATTTCAAGTTATATGACAAAGTGGTAGTAAATAGTATGGTACTGGCATAAAAATAAATAGATCAATGGAATAGAATAGAAAATCCAGAAATAAACCCACAATTAATTGGTCAGTTAATCTTCGACAAAGGAGAAATGAATATACAATGAAAAAAATACGTCTCTTCAACAAAGGGTGTTGGGAAAACTGGACAGCCACATGCAAAAGAGTGAAACTGGACCACTTTCTTTCACCATACACAAAAATAAATTCAAAATGGATTAGGGGCACCTGGCTGGCTCAGTCTGTAGAGTGTGCGACTCTTGATCTTGGGGTTGTGAGTTTGAGCCGCACGTTGGGTGTAGAGATTAAATAAATAAGTAAATGTATATATAAATAAAATAATTTTTTTTAAAGAATCAAGAGTCACATGCTCTACCAACTGAGCCAGCCAGGTGTCCCTTATGTACTCTTTTGCTACGTTAGTATATTTTTCTCCTTTTTCATTAAAATTCTACGTGGACACAGATGAATGGACCAGAACAGAACGTTCAGAAATAGACACAAATAGATCGGGAATTTATTTATTTTTTTTTAAGATTTTTAAAAATTTATTTATTTGACAGAGAGCACAAGTAGGCAGAGCGGCAGGTAGAGGGAAAGGGAGAAGCAGGCTCTCCGCTGAGCAGGGAGCCCAATGCGGGGCTCGATCCCAGGAGCCTGGGATCATGACCCGAGCCGAAGGCAGCCGCTTAACCAACTGAGCCACCCAGGCGCCCCTAAATCGGGAATTTAATGTATCATAAGAGTGACACTTCAAATCAGTGTGGGAAAGATGGATTTTCCCCCCTATATGGTATATCCTATAAATATACTCCCACATGTGCAAGGACAACTGGTTAGCCATCTGAAAAAAAAATATGTTGCACTCCTATTATACAACTTATACCAAAATAAATTTCAAATAGACCAAAGATTTAAATGTAAAAATTGAAACCCTAGTGCTAGAAGGAAAGACACAATTTTAAATATTCTCTGAGTGGGGAAAACCTTTCCAAGTCATAAAGAAGCCATTAAAGGAAGGACAGTGAACTACATAAAAATAGAAAACGTCTGCATGCACAAAGGAAAAATTATAAAGTTAAAACATAGAAGCGCTGGGTGTGGAGCCAGGAGACCTGGAAAGTCAGTATTTCAATTCAGCTGGCCTAGCTCTAAGTTGCTTCCATTTAAGACTTGGGGGAAAATATCCACTGTTCTCTACGGGAGGGGCCCTCCTTGAGGGCTCCCTGGTCTGGCTCTTGGTGAGGCCTTTTCCCTACAGTGAGACTACCCCCTAAGGCACCATATGCCCAAGTGTAATTGGGGGGTCCCCCCTGGGCACTCCATCTCCAAATAGCCTTCCCTAACCACCTGCTTCTGGTGTCCCCAAGTCCAGCTTAGAGAGTCATACTTTGGGTAGAGATACCTTAGCTAAGGAAATACAAAGTATTGGAGAACTAATGCATTGAGTCTGGTGGGTTGTTTGTGGGCCATGAGCATTTCGGCCAAGGGCAGGTGGACCATGTGTCATGGGTGTATGGGAAGTGTGCTGGCCCAGGGGCATCGAGTTTGAGTAGGTCCCAGCTCCAGCGTTGACTTCCTGCCCAACCTCGGAGAAGTCAACCTTTCTTCCTGGGCCTCCTTTTTTCCCCCTCTGAACCAGGAAGTGGTTGGACTAAATGCTCTAGTTGGGTTCATTCATTCTACAAATGTGTGTTACGTACCTGCCACATGCTGGGGTACTGCTGTAATTGCTAGGGATACAGCAAGGGACAAAACAGACAAAAGGCTCTGCCCTTGTGGAACTTACATGTTAGTGGGAGGATACCATCAACAAACAAGAAATATAATCATTAACTAAATTATTTAATATTTGGGAGGCATAAGTGCCTTAGGAAAACAAAAGCAGAGTAAGGGATATTCAGGATGTGTGTGGGTGTTGGGATTTAAAACGAGGGTACAGGGGCACCTGGGTGGCTCAGTCGTTAAGCGTCTGCCTTCGACTCAGGTCATGATCCCAGGGTCCTGGGATCGAGCCCTGCATC